TTTGCTCAGAATTTTGAAGGCACTGCTCCACTATCCCCTGGAATCCAGCACTACTGTCCAGAACTCTGATGATTCTGACTCTTGTTCCTTTTTCTATGAGCTATTCAAATTTTGTCTCCGGAAGTTTTAGAACATTCTTTTTAACTCTGATGCTCTGAAATTTCATGATGATGTACTTTAGGTTCTTGTCATTTTAAAATGATACTTAGCACAAGATTAGATCCTACCAATCTTGAGATATATATTCTTTGGTACTTAGAAAAAAGTCAGTTATCAATACTACACTACTTTTCATTCCATATGCATTTTTCGCTCTTTGATTTGCTATTTATTGTCTTCTCTCACGTCTGTCCGTATGGGTTAATACCATTTATTTATTTATTTCAGTGGGGATCCAAAAAAGAGTGGATTGTTGCAAATGCATATGCTAAGTCTACCATGTTTGACCTTCTTATTGCAATGGAATCTCCTGGAAGTGAGTTTTGAAAATGTATTTGAGAAAAGGGTCAGGTGATTCTGGGGCCAGCCAGATTTGAGAACCACTGTCCTAGCATATGCATCTTCAAACTCGCTTAGAGACCAGGAACCTAAAAATCTAATAGTTCTCTTGTCCCTAAATTATCATCAGAAGAGCAGTGAGCCGACTGAGCTGACCTGTCAAAGAATTTGTTTAACTACAAATTGAATCTTAAGTATGGCTGAGTACAAACTTGAAGGTAATATGTGATATCTGTTGGGGAACAGAAATTGTAGTCATGATAATGGAAAGGCTTAAACTGGCAGTGGCAGGAACCAGATAGGGTTTGATATGTGGGACGACGGGCACAAAAAGTGCTTGGGTACAATCTGAGGCTTGGAAGAGAAGCCACTCTTCCTGCTCTTCTCCAGAATGCATTGCTAGACCTGTGTCTGGTTGCATCCTGGTATAATGACTCATCCAGGAATTGTGAAAGGTTGTGGCTAGTCAGAAACAGTCTTGGAGCACCAAGCCAAACTGGAAGTGGAGCCAGAGAGTCCAGAGGATGCCCAAAGTAGACAATGTAAACAGAACGTATGTCCTTTACAGAAACTGCTGGGCTCAGGGACTGCTGGGGATAGTCTTTTTAGGGATGAAGAGGCTTTCAAAAGTGAACAGGTTACCAAAATAACACAAAACTGCTGGAGATAATGTATAGGAAAGGACAGTGGTTATATTAAACACTGAAGGTGCTCCTAAAGACAAAGTATAGGTATTGTGGGCTGCATGAAGGATTCTAAACCCTGTTTGACAGACAGCCATTAGACTTTCAAGGAGTCTTACATGGACACCAGGGTTTTCATGTAAAGTCATAAAATAAAGGTTCTGGGCTTTAAGGTCAGAATCTGAAGGTGGGAGAAAGTAGGCTTTTCTGAATATCAAAGCACTCCCTAATAAAGTTACAGTCTAGTGTATTTGAAGTTTGTTCAAACTCTAATCAAAGACTACTTAGACGGAGCTTTCCAGAAATGTGTGAAAAAGTCAGTACCCATAATAGTGACCAGAAATTGAGAAGGGAGCTGAATGAGCTCAGATGCTAATTAGCCCTTAGACTCAGGTTTTATGTAGGGACCACTGCAAAGTCCAATGTTACAAATGAATAAGGTCCACCTGGGCATGGTAGAGTTTATAACTTTTTTCAAACATAGAAGTATTTCTCATTTTGATGGCTTGGATCTGAGAGTAGGTATCTCTGCTCTTTAAAAAAAGAGTTTTTAAAAACACAAATGAGGCTGGGCATGGTGGCTCATGCCTGTAATCCTAGCACTCTGGGAGGCCAAGGTGGGCGGATTGCTCGAGGTCAGGAGTTCAAAACCAGCCTCGTCAAGAGCGAGACCCCGTCTCTACTATAAAGAGAAAGAGATTAATTGGCCAACTAACATATATAGAAAAAATTAGCCGGGCATGGTGGCGCGTGCCTGTAGCCCCAGCTACTCGGGAGGCTGAGGTAGCAGGATTGCTTGAGCCCAGGGGTTTGAGGTTGCTGTGAGCTAGGCTGACGCCAGGGCACTCACTCTAGCCTGGGCAACAAAGCGAGACTCTATCTCAAAAAGCAAATAAACAAACAAAAAAACAAACCACACAAATGACTTTGGTATTCTGGTTTTAATGCACTGTGGGAGGGAAAGGTGCTATCCTAGAATAAATTCTGGCACCTCTGTTGACCAGGACAGTAAGACTTCCACAGCACAGATGGAGGCAATGGCATTAACAACAAATAGCTGGTGGAGTCAGGGCAGAAAATATCCTGAGCTAAAGAAGAGGACAATGAATACACTTAGACCGCTGAACACCAGTCCCTTGCTGCCTTCAGAGAGACAAAGGGTATCAGACACAATTAAAGAAAAAAACCTTTGGTAAAGTGACAGGAGGTATCATTAGGCTCAAGAAATCACTGCTCCTGCCATAAACAAGTGGGCAACAATCAGCCTCTTTATGAATATCTCAAGTGAGTCTATAACTCTTTTAAGATTAGGTTTCATTAATATTTATCATCTGCAGATATTTCAAGGACCTTGAGACAAGAGAAGTAAGTATCTGGTTTTAGTGGTAGGTTGGTTATACAACAATATATTTATCATTCTTAGTCATTAAATATATCGGAGGGAAGTGGAGAGAAGAATTCCCTACTAATATATGTTTTTCTGAAAGTTTGCTTAAGTTCTCTAACTCCGGTTTCCTAAGAAATACTATTCTTTTTTTTTTTTTTTTTTTTGTGACAGAGTTTCACTCTGTTGCCCAGGCTAGAGAGCTATGGCATCAGCCTAGCTCACAACAACCATAAACTCCTGGGCTCAAGTGATCCTCCTGCCTCAGCCTCCCAAGTAGCTGGGACTACAGGCATGCACCACCATGCTTGGCTAATTTATTCTATATATTTTTAGTTGTCCAGCCAATCTCTTTCCATTTTTAGTAGAGACCTGGTGTCTACTATGCTAAAGTACATGGTTGTAGTTTTCAAGTACCTGCCCACCCATATTTTCTTTTTTGAACCTTCTTCAAATAAAATATAACATAAACATCCAATAAATAAGAAAGACATAGTTGCTCTCATAGAAGAGAGACTAGTGGCAGGGTTTGGAACCCAGGGTACCACATCTATGAATCCCTTGCAAAAAGGCTTAGGATAAAGCATTCATAACTTTGGGTAAGAAGTATATAGGTATATACTTGATAGTAGAACCTCTTAAGGGCAGGAAATACCTATTACGTGATAACCCAGGGTCTAGGACATACTTGGCTGAAACAGAGGAAGTATGCAATAAATGCATGTTTAAATAAAGTTTCAAAGTTTGTTGGAATCTTCAAAATCTTTGAGCCTGTATAAACCACACTTTTGTCCTTAAGGACACACAGGCATGCCAGTGCATGTTAGCCCAAGAAGTTCACGGCATTCCTGATCTGGGATCAGCGAAGAAGCCCTGAGACCTTACTGACATGGGTGTAAAGGACATCCATATCTGGCAAAGCCAGGAGGGGCCATGACTAGGCATCCTATTAACCATCAAGGTGTGGTAGATACCCCAGGGTAAAGCATACAAGAAACTGAGTACAGAGAGGTAGGGAAGACAGAAGAAGTAGGGAAGAGGGCAGGTCGAGGCAGGTAAACTCAACAATGTGAGAGATTAGATGCAACAAGAGCAAAGGGACACAAAGCACTACTGTTGAGCAGCAGGCAGAGGCTGTTTGTTCTCTGCCTTGTTTCATAGAATGACTCTCTATTGGTTTGTGGAAAGCACTGAGCCTACTGATATTGACCAATACAATGAGACAGAGATGAGAATTACAGGCAAAACTTGATCCTGATGATACAGTGGCAGAAGTACTGGGAGAAATTACAAACAACTTCCCCAAGCAGAAGAGCAATTGTAAACAGAAATGTCTGCCCAGCTGAGGCAAAACAGTAAAGTATCTCTGCTGAACCTACTTACCTCTGACTTGCTGTTCTAGACTAAGGATGACTGCCACGGCCTGATGAAGAATAAGGAGTTTTGTTTGGGGTTTTTCACTCTTCAAATGAAGCTGACACATTCGGCCAAGCTCTTTGAATGCCTCATTAATATCTCGTACACGCAAGCGTTCTCTGGCATTGTTAGCCATCCGCCTTTCCTTCTCCCTTTCTATTTTCTGTTCTGGGTTCAAATCCTCATCTTCATTAGTACTGCTGGAAAACAAAGTAACAAAAATGTCTATTAGGTTTCCTATAAAGTAAGACATGCTGACTGTGCAAAATTATAAAGTATAAAAATGGAAATGAAAATATCCTATAAATCTTACCAAACAGTAGCAACAGCTGCACTTAACATGATTGTGTATTTCTTTCCAATCTTTTTTCAATGCACATATATAGTCATATAGTTGAAATTATACCACATACATTTTAAAATGCATTTTTTGTTGTTCATTATAGCATGAAGACTTCCCCATACTGGTGAAACTCTTCATAAACATAATATCAATGACTACACAATATTCTAGCACTTTGCTACAAAAAAATGATTCACAAATCAGCAGCATCAGCATTACTGGGAGGCTGTTAAAAACTTAGAATCTCTCAGGTTCTACCTCAAACCTACTGAATTAGAAGCTGCATTTTAATAAGATCTCCAGCTGATTCACATGTACATTTAAAAGTTTGAAAGCACCACCTAGTGCATGAATGTATCATAATTTACTTAACCTATGCTCTTAAATATATTCTGATAGTTACCTAGTGAGAAAGAGAAAGTTACCTAGTGAGAAAGAGAAAGAACTGCTCAGAACCTTGAAATAATCTGTGAAAGACACAGATTGAGAGAAGAAGCTCAGAGAATGGGTATTTTTTTCTCTAAAGAAAAGTATCATTATGAGTGGTGGTGATTATAAAATACTGAGAGAATTAGAATAATTTTCTTGAAGAACAAATTGGCAAAATGAATCCAAAGCCTTAAATGTTCATTACCTCTTTAGTGGGAATTCCAACTTTAGAAATTCATCCTAAGGATATAATTAGAGATGTACATAGAAATTTATGTAAAGGAAATTGATCATAAAATTATTTACATTAGCAACATACTTGAATCCAATAAAGAGATGGGTTAAATAAATCACAGTACATCCAGAAGATGGACTACTATGTAGCTTCTAAAAATCAAGCTGCGAATTATGCTAAGCAAAAAAACAGACACAAAAGACCACATGCTATATGATTCCATTTACATGAAATTCTAGAAAAGACAAAGCTATGACAACAGAAAGCAGATCTATGGTTGCCAAGGGCCAGGGGGTGGGGGAAGGGAGCTGACTACAGAGAGGTATGAAGAAAATTTTTTTTGGTGGGGGAGTGAAAATATTCTATGTTATGAATATGGTGGTAGTTATATGACTTTTACATTTGTCAAGGGATAAAAACTATACACTTAAAACTGGTGAATGTTATTATTATAAGCATTAAATCTCAACAAAGCTGACCAAAATAAGAATAAGTAAAACACCAATTGCAGAAAATATCCAGAGGCAGAGGAAAATGGTAAAAATACACTGTTGAATGAAAAAAATTGAAATTATAAAAGTTATATCCAGTTTAATTCCAATTTAATATGTATTTATGGAAAAAGAGATAATCCTTAAAATGCAAACAGTGGTTAATTCTGGATAGTGGAGTTTCTTGTGATTTTTGTTTGTGTTTTCCTGTATTTCCCAAATTTCTATAAAGAGAATAGATTACACAATCAGAAAAAAAATATTTCAGGGAGATGCTTGGGAGTAACTTTTAGAAAGTTCTATTTATGTTTCAGAAATAAATTACTGAGCGGAACTGCTCAGAACCTTGAAATAATAATGTGCAAAAAGAATAGCAATTTTCATCTCTTCTCTAACACCTTGAGTATTCTGATAAAGAATACATATGCAATAGATTTTTATAGCTAATCACTAAGAATTACAATGATAATTGAGAAACACTGGCTGTTTGAGTTCAAAAAGGCCTTAAAAGTTGTCTAAATATGGCCATTCAGTAGAATCTCCAGAAACACTTAAAAAATATAGCTTTCCAGGTCCCATTAGCAGAGTTGATGATTTAGAGAGTTTGGGTTGAGGTCCAGGTACCTGTATTTCTAAAATGTTCCAACCTTGTGTAGCCGGGCTGAGAACCACTGCAAGACCCAGAGAAATCAGTGACCTCCCTAGGATCACACAGCTTATTAGTGGTAGGATAATGATGAGAAGCCAGGTCAGTGCTACATGGGAGCAAACCTATACCATACACCTAAAATTTCCATCTTAAGAGCAACTACAGTATCTTTATTTAATGATTACTGTGTTTTAGTGTGCAAAGGGCTTTAAATATATCATTTTCAGATTATTCCCACAAGAATCCTATAGTAGAAAGTCTCTTTTTAGAGAAGAATATACTGAGATCAAAGAGCTTTTAATCACTTGGCAAGTAGGTGATAGAACCATGATTCAAACCCAGATTAGGCTAACTTTGTCCAAAGACCATGTTATTACACTGCCTCTCAATTTCTGATGACCTATAATGTAGGTCAGTAAACTATGGCCTGTGAGCTGGTCACCTATTTTTGCAACAAATTTTATTAGAACAGCCACTTCCATTTGTTTATGTATTGTCTTTGGCTGCTTTTGTGCTACAATGGTGGAGCTAAGTAGTTTGACAGAGATTGTATGGCCCAGAAAACCTAAAATATTTACTATCTGGCCCTTTATATCAAAAGTATAAAGGGTATAAACAAACTTACTGTGCTGCCAGTTGTATAAAAGTATATAATTATGTATTGTACACAATACAGTAAGTCCTCAATGTCATTAATGGATTTTTGGAAACTGCAACTTCTAAGTGAAACAACATACAATGAAACCAATTTTTATCATAGGCCAATTGATATAAACAAGAATTACATTCCTACAGCATATTTCTGATCACAAAAACATCACCAACCTTATAAACAAAGATCCCAAACCTTTCCAATATTAAATACTAAAATAAATGTGGGCTATACATACATTTAAGAAAGATTAATAAAAATAAGTAAAATTTATCCCCTTATTAGTTCAGGTTTATGGGAGACCAAAGTCCACCCCAGCAGCTTAGGAAGCAAGGTGGGAACAATCTAGGACAGGATGCCACTCCATCCAGGGTCAACTCATACCCACACTCACTCAGACTGGGACCATTTAGACATGCCTGTTCACCTAATGTGTGTATCTTTGGGATGTAGGAGAAAACCGGAGTACCTGGAGAAAACCCACATAGGGAGATAAGAATGTGCAAACTCCACACAGTGGCTCTGGCTAGGAATCAATTTTTTTTCTCATTAATGTTGAATAAAATGATGTTAATTTAGGATGTGCTGTACTTAATAATAATAAAAAAATGCCTGTTTGTGAATTTATTATACTATACTTTGTATCATTATTCTAAGGAATACTCCTATGTATTAAAAAAAACCCTATAAAACAGCCTCAAACAGGTCCTTCAGGAGGTATTCCAGAAGAAGGCACTGTTATAATAGGAACTCCATGCATGTTATTGCCCCTGCAATCTTTCCAATGGGACAAGATGTGGAGGTGGAAGGCAGTGATACTGATGATCCTGACCCTGTGTTGGCCTAGGCTAATGTATGTGTTTGGGTCTTAGGTTTTAGCAAAACAGTTTAAAATGTAAAAAAATTTAAAAATTTTCAAAATAGAAAAACACAGAATAAGGATATGTTTTTGTACAGTTATATAATGTGTTTGTATTTTAAGTTAAGTGTTATTATAAGAGTCAAAACAGGTTGGGCGCGGTGGCTCACGCCTGTAATCTTAGCTCTCTGAGAGGCCGAGGCGGGCGGATTGCTCAAGGTCAGGAGTTCGAAACCAGCCTGAGCAAGAGCGAGACCCCGTCTCTACTATAAATAGAAAGAAATTAATTGGACAACTAATATATATATATAGAAAATTAGCAGGGCATGGTGGTGCGTGCCTGTATTCCCAGCTACTCGGGAGGCTGAGGCAGCAGGATTGCTTGAGCCCAGGAGTTTGAGGTTGCTATGAGCTAGGCTAATGCCACGGCACTCACTCTAGCGTGGGCAACAATGTGAGCCTCTGTCTCAAAAAAAAAAAAAAAAAAAAGAGTCAAAACAGTTTTAAAAAAAGTATATAGTAAAAAAGTTATAGGCAGTTAAGATTAATTTATTATTAAAGAAAAATGTATTTTTATAAATTTAGGGTAGCCTAAGAGTACAGTGTTTATAAAGTCTACAGGGATGTCCTAGGCCTTCACATTCACTCTCAACCTACTGACTCAACCAGAGCAACTTTGAATCCTGCAAGGTAAGTACCCTATATACAAGTATATCATATTTTATCTTTTATTTTTACTGTCCTTTCGTATGTTTAGCTACACATATACTTACCATTGTGTTACAGCTGCCTACAATATTCAGTACAGTAACATGCTGTATAGGTTTGTAGCCTTGGAGCTATAGGCTACACCATACAGCCTAGGTGTATAGTAGGCTATATTATTTAGGTTTTTTTTTTTTTTTTTTTTGAGACAGAGTCTCGCTTTGTTGCCCAGGCTAGAGTGAGTGCCGTGGCGTCCTAGCTCACAGCAACCTCAAACTCCTGGGCTCGAGTGATCCTTCTGCCTCAGCCTCCCGGGTACTTGGACTACAGGCATGTGCCACCATGCCGCGCTAATTTTTTATATATATTCAGTTGGCCAATAATTTCTTCTATTTATAGTAGAGACGGGTCTCGCTCTGAGGCTGGTTTTGAACTCCTGACCTTGAGCAATCCGCCCGCCTCGGCCTCCCAAGAGCTAGGATTACAGGCGTGAGCCACAGCGCCCGGCCAATTTAGGTTTTTTAAGTATGCTCTATGATGTGCACACAATGACAAAAATCACTTACTGATACATTTCTCAGAACGTATACCAATTGTTAAGCAATGTATGACTGTATTTAAATTTTACTGATTGAATGTATCAAATGTCTATACCATACAATTTAACTTATTTTTGCTATTATGGCCTCTAACAGATTAAGCAACTTGAGGGGAGAGATATAATTCTTTTTTATACACAGACCCTAAAATGGTGTGGTATAAAGGAAAACTCAATTTTGGAGTTAAACCTTCACATGCCATCCTTTTAGGGATGCTGTGATGATTAAATAAAAATTAAACGAAAATCCTAATATAGTATCTAAAACCAGTTGGCTGCTGATAAATGCATGACAACCTTCAACTTCCCAAGTATTTTCACTCATGGCGAATAAGTGAAATTTAATACCTGGATATTAACAAATACCTTGTTCTGCCTCTAGATGAAACCTTGATATCTTTTTGGGAGGATTCATCGTCTGATTTCATGTCATCTGATGAAGGAGGTTCATGAAGGTTTTCATCCTTCTCTTTGTTTTCAGTCTTAATTTCTGTTGCAACAACAGTTCCAGACTGACTTTGCAAACCACCTAACAAAGAGGCAAAGGTAACATAAAAGAAATGACCAGACTCATTTATAAATGAGAACTAAAACAGTAAAAAGCTTTCTAGATGGAATATCCTTAGTTGTTACAGGGTTATGATGGAAATCTCAAGATGTAGGAAAGTACTAGAGCTAAAAAAAACATTTTTTTTAATGATTTTTACAGCATTTATATTTAAAAGAATAAGCCAGACCCTGATGATCAGTCTAATGCTCACTTCCAGGCACTATTTAACAATTGAACACAGTATGAGAAACTTGATGCATTTTAGAAACTTTTAAGATGCTGCCAAGGTAAAGGAAATAAGCTTAATATTTTCCAGGATAAACACAATAAAATAGGTGTCGTTAAATAGAACTGGGAGAATTTTATTTTGGTGGTCTTAATACTGGTTCTATATTTATACTTATTTATAAGCTCTATTGTAACATTGATCATAGTTTGCTATTTATCAGAATTATATGTCTCTCTGATCAAATTATAATCTCTAATACAACAGTTTCCATCATTCAGAATTCTCAGTTTACTCAGAAATATCTTTCTCACTGCCTCAAGGACCATGAAGACGAACTCATGAGGGCAAGTGATGTAGGAATAGAGACATGACAGAAGCAGGAGCAGGTATAAAGATAACCAGTAAATACTGAAAAGAGGTTTGTATGGGGCTCCATCTATCAGTAAGTACATATAATGGGACCGGCCAGGTGGGCCAGTTGGAATCCTAAATATCTATCCCTCCACACTCATGCAGTAGCACGATTTGGAATTCCTTCACCTAAATGACTTTGATTCACAGATGTCAATCCAGTTTTGAGAAAGGTGACACTATTTCAAAGGAAATCTCTGTCTGTATTATTGCTGAAAAATCAACAATATCGGTACCTCTATAATTTTCTTGTGTTTTATGGTTCAGGTCTGTGCTTGAAGCAGTGACGGTACTAGACAAGACTGAATGATTGCCATTGAGACTGACAGAGTCTTCCCGATGAGTTCCAACCTAAAGTAAAGAAAAACAAAAAATAAAAAATGGTCAAGATAATTCAGGGGCAATAACTGTCCAAATTTTTTTACTAGGTTTAATAGAGAAAACAGTATCACTCATCTGAATTTAGCAACTTTTTCTGGATGACACTTTCTGGTTTTTGGTGGCAGTTTCAAAATACCTGATCACAGTACTGCTTTTGAATCAAACCAAAATGTTACTTTTTTAAAAAATAAAAATTCTAGCTTGTATATTTTACTTTTCATTTATTTATTTATTTATTATTTATTTATTTATTTCCAACATTAGGTTTCCACTTCTGTGTGAAGCTTATAAATTTTAAATCCTACAGAGAAAGTTGTTGTCAGAAGCAAATGAGCTTCTGCAAGCCATAAAGCATTAGATATTATAGGGCCTACTAATAATCCTTCATAAACAATCTGAAAATGTTTCATTTTCTCTAGAAATATATTAAAGTATGCATGAACTTGCATTTAACAATTACATTCCAAGCAATAACAGTAAATATGTAAGTCTGCCCCTCTTATAGTTTTCTACTTCCTCTAACTGCCTCCTCTCAAAATTTTTAAAACAGCAGCAAAAGCAATATAAAATTAACTTAAAAGTTTTGCATTGCTGGGCAACAAAATTGGCCTATTTTTTAATTCTTAGTTTTAATCAAACTTATACAAGTCACAGTTAACCTGAAACGGGAAGGTAAAGTATGTAACCACCACCAAGTATTCAGCTATTGCAGTACCTTTAGAAAACCTTGTTATAGATGAAGCTTTTTATTAGAAAAGCAGCAGACGTGTCAACCAGAAGATTAAGCCTTTAATTAAATAGGTTTATTGCCTGGAGTTATACAAGAGAACCACTGTTTTTCAATAAATCCTTCTATCCTAGTAAACTGCCAAGCTTTGAATCCCTCGAGTAATTAATATAGCTTTTATCTTTCATGACTTTGTATGGATTTTAGCCTAAGAGGTATAAATACCTGTATGCATGTTTATTCTTTGGTTTCCTGTGAGCTAAACAAAAGGAACCACAGCAAACTTTTAGGCAGTGTAGGCCATTTGGCAGTGGATTTGATTAGAATATATCAGTTCTTAAACCATACTTTTTAAGAAATGTTTGTCTTTAACCCTTATTCTCAATGTACTTTGAAAAAACCCATTTTAGGGCACAATTACACTATTCTGGTGATCGGTACACTGAAAGCCTAAATTCAGCATGATACAATTCATCCATGTAACAAAAAAAACACTCATACCCCTTACATTTTTTGAAATAAAAAATCCCAAAACTCATTTAATGTATTCCATAGCTTGCTGAGTTATTATTTGCATCACTACTCTCTCAGATAATCAAGCACTGACTGCACTCTTTTCCTAAACCACATAATTTCATCACACATTAGAATCATAAAGTCTTAAAGCTGGGAAGGAACTAGAGAAACTATGGCAGACTTCCATCCCACGCTCCACTTCAGAAAGTTTTGGCCTTTACATCCTCCTCCTCTATAAAACTTGAGAAAAATCTGCAGAACTAAACCTAATAACCAGTAAAGAAGTAAATTGTGAAAACTGCATTTAAGAAAGAAAATTATTTTTAAGATGTTTCATGAAATCCTGTCTCAAAGGTATTCTGGTCATGTTTATCCTTAACACATTAGGGTGCTTTCTTATGATCTATGAAATACTCAATGATCTAAGAGGAAGGTCAGTTCAAAATCTCATTTTACAAAAATATATATGAGTAAAGACAACATATAGCTGCAAATTTTTATAACCTTAGAAGCCTAGGTCTAAAGATAAAATATTACCTAAAACAGTTCTGACTGGTTGAGGAAATTGTAGGATAAAGTAAAAGCTAGGATTTCTGTGTTTGTGTTTATAATGTGGACTTAAAAATTTCTACGATCTCTGGTAATATGTGCTACTTGTGTTCTTTCATAGTAATTATCACACCAAGTAACTGAAAAGAAAATAGCCTTTTAAAATATAAACTTTTAAACATATACATATTTACTATATATTATACATATCGAACCCACAGCTTTGTAAGACAATACCACTGAATAGCAACAAACTAAATTTTCACTTAAGTGATAATGCACCTGAATTCTGATTTCCTTTAATTTTATTAGTATAAATAATTCTTTGATTTTCTGAAACTCTACTATTAAAAAATGTTCTATCATCTCCTTTCTGATGAAAGGCTTGGCAGACACAGGATCATTATTTAAATGATAAATCTTAGAGATTTTGCCTTTCCCTTAGGGAAAATCAGAAAGGTTGCTAGATTTGGTTTGGGATAAAAATGCCAACAAATATTTCTGCCTGTATAGAATACTATAAACTAAGTATTTTCTCACACCAACTTACATTATTGGCTTCCAAAAGAAAAAAAATTAATTGGCACACATAGCAAAAATATAAGCCTTAAACAAATGGCCTCAGACTAGCAGAAAGCTTGAAGTCTGGAGTTTTTCATGTTAATGAAGTTAGCAGGAACTTTTCTTTGTAACTTGATTCCCCTCGCAAATGGCCCTCATATATCTTCTGGAGAATTTGACTTTCACAGTTCTTATGGTTCTCTTTAACCCTTGCTCACCCTGGCTCCCATGTCCTCCCTTTAATCTGCAACTCCACATTCAAATGGCTCTGTCTACACACACAACAGGTGTATAAACAATTCTTTGTCTGAGCCTAGAGCCTGTGGGGCCAGCCAGATAGGACCCTGTTTAATTGTTCACCTCGTTAGCATACAGCTGACAGGCTGCTGCTGCTGCTGCAGCAGGGGGAGTAACAGGGGAAGGAAACCCCTCGCCTGCTAGGCTCTGAGTTTCAATTATTATGAAGAGCCCTATTTCAGAATAAAAGGCCCATCCCATTAAATGACATCATCCTGCATACTCAATCTTCACAATCTGCATACAGCCTTAATTTTGTGAGAGAACCCAACAAGGGACTTGTTTTCATTTAATTCGGCCAATGGCTTTAGCACCCACAATGGAAAAATGTTAAATCTAATTAGTTGATGAATGAGAGGTCTTGTGAATTAAGGGACAGACTGAAAAGTACTCAGTATGAATTCCTCTCTGATTCTGAATTCTAATAATCTGTTCAATTCGTACTATTCACTGAATACTAACAATTTAAATTACTCAATATTAATCTCTAGATTGATTAAAGGATCTTTACATACTATCTACGCCAAGGTATTTTGTTTTATCTGAACGGTTTTATGTTAGAAACTTGGTAGTATACCATTTGTTATGGTTCCTTTTAAATGATATTTCCGTAAATGTATAACTTCTATGGTTTGCAAACTTTTAAAAAGTTGCCATTTTGAATTTTAAAGTGTTACCAAATCCCTTAAAAAGCACTATAATGTGATATTAATGAAAATAAATTTTTTAAATTGCCCATTTAGGAAAAAATTGGTTAGAAATAGTAAGAGTGGTTAAAAGTAAAATTTTTCTTATTCAGTTGAAACACAATTTCTACAATATTATAAACCCATACTGCTAAAATTAAATATTGTCCAAATGGAAGGTTAAAACGATTTCAAGTTTATTTGATAAGTGACAAAAATGCTGAGATAATTTTCAACAAAATATCACCCTATTTGCCTGTTAATTTTTAATAATTTAAGTCTCTTAGAACTAAGGAAAACATAGTTTCTCTAACTGCTTTAGGATTTAAGAAAGCAGACATGATTTATATTTTTAAATCATTGTATAAAGTAGCTTTATATTCTATAATTTAACATTATTTACTATGCTCTCATACAAGAATATCACACTTGCCAACCCCCCTTTAAACAACAAAAAACCCAAGCAATTCCAAAAATAATTAAGAGAAATGCCTGGATTAAATTTCCTCGGGACCTTACAGACTGAGAGGTGGAATTAAAAGAAAAAAAAAAAACAACAATGAAAAAAAAGTAAAAATTGAAAAAACAAAAAAAATAAATTTCCTAGGGATTTGTAGCAGTGACCTCACGAATGGAATTTTGTCCTATCTCATAAATAAGAAACTTTTTAGATCTGCATCAACCTTCCTTAATGGAATAATGTACAAAAAGCTTCAAATCTCACTTAGTTTGGTCTGAAGTTGAAATCACCATCTGAGAAAAATCTGTTTTAAAATTTAAATGGTATATCAGTATCACATACTAATAAGACTGACCAGAAAAACCTTTACGTTTTATAGTATTTGTTTTAAGCATATATGGAGATATATTAAAAATATATTACGAGTGCAGAAAATTAAGTAAATAAGTAAATGAAATGTTAGCCCCATTTAAAAGTAAGAGCAGATATTAAAAAGATGCCAGGCTGGCTACACTAATTATATATAAAGGAGTAGGAATTACCCATTTCCTAGTTTCTTTTTGCAATATACTTTCAGGAGATTTAAATTTTATGTATATCAGGTAGCTAAAATATGTTAAAAGCCTTCTATGGTTGAAACCTCACTTCATTCTAAACTCTGATGCTAGTCAAATATGTCTGGTTAAAAGAAACAATAGCAAAAATTAAGTCTTTTGATATTGATTCTTATTATTAATAACATAGATTTTTGGCAGGTAGTAGCCTTACCTAATTGGTAAGAAATATAAAATCCTTTTCTGGAACAATTAAAAAATACCAGACTATTATTT